TTAATTCTAGCAAGAGTGTCATCCATTGTGCCTGACTCAAACTGCTCGCAATTGTCACCTGTCCTGAATGTGTTAGGAGGTCCAGTTTCTGGAACTCTTTCAGATGTCTCAGAAACTCAACAAGGAAGTGAGTTTTTTCAGAAGTCCTGCCAACGAGGTTCTTTCCACACTCAAGATAGGACAGTAAATCCCTGCAAAGTTTTAACGTTGCTATTAAAATTCAAGCCCCCATTCAGATTTAGAATGCATCATAACACGGTTAGTAATACCATGCCGATGGAGACATGTCAGTGTATTAGTGTTTATTGATACTTACACTTCAGTTTGTAACATTGAAGATCCCAAAACTTTAGTATTGATAATTGTACGTGCCATGCTTTCAGATTTAAACATTACTATTCCAAATTTTGTATCACTGTATAAATCTCTCTGCTGTATTGAAGGACACTTACACCATTTCGCTAGGATTGAAGTTTAATGCTAAGGATTGGTTATGGCTGCCTGTGATTTAGATAGAGTAGCAACATCTTGGCTGCTCACAGCAAACTAGACAATGTCAACCCTGCCCCCTAGTTGTTACTCATAAATTTAAAATGATATTTGCTATATTTTCTGTAGATTATTCAAGCTTTTAGTAACATTTGCTTTTTGCAGTGTTTTCCTTTCCTGAAATGGTATTTCCAAGTATATCCCTAAATGACTGGCAAAGCATTTGAATGGATTGCATCAGCCATTGTAGCTGATTTCCTATTTTAGACCAGGAATTTGTGGGGTCAAACCCTGAACAATGAGAGATTCTTGCTCACTTGAGGCCAGAACAATCCGGTGGCAGTTGAGGGTTTGAATTGTAAATCAAGCCTGTCATCTCCTTGTCAGCTATGGAAACCTCAGTTCACTTTGTGCATGATTAGAGTTTTTGTTGTTTTCCAAAAATTTGATGGGAAATTAGGCTCACGAGGCATTTGTTGTAGTTGAGCCTTGAGTCTGAATTTTGGAAAAGAGGCACAAATATTAGTACTATTTAAAATCTATCAATTGGTTGGGAGCATCTGCTACAATTATGAGTGTTTGGTTTCTAACCAAAATGAAGGGGATTCTCCTGTTGTTCAGAGGGTGTTCTGTAGGGTCATATATGGCCTGCAGAGAGCTCACAGACAGGACATTAGTGGTTACTGGCAATATTATCAGTTTGGTTTATAATGAATTAATATATTTTCATATGAAATTGAATGGAAATTAGTTTTTCCCATGAAAAGTAGCATTGCTTTTTTTTCCCCACACCCAGAAAATATGGGAGAATTTCTTTTCAGGCTGTAACAAGGACAGATGGAATGAGTGGCTTGCATAACCTCTTGCCTTTATGAAAACTTGATTTTGGGCAAAAAAATTAAAAAACCACTGCCTCAGGAGTAGAAAACAAGTAGGCTGTCTGGGGTAGTTTATTGTGATGATTCAGGGTTCATTATCCATTCCACAAATATTTATTGAACGCCTACTATGGAAGCTTGGTGCAGTGGAGCCCAGAGCATGGCGATGCCAAACAAAACTTGGCTTATTAAAAATCCCAGCCAGTAAAACAACTGGATGGGAAATAGGAGGATGAGGCCTGACTTCTGAGGCTCAAGAGTGGATCAGCCTGGCTAAAATCATGCTTGAGTAATTTGCCCCACTTGATGGATGATAAAAGAATCTATGCAGGACTTTAGTAGGAGTCAGTTTGAAAGAATAATTATTACAATATGTGCTAGAAAAGAGCCATAATAATAGACCATAAAAATAAACCATGGCTCTTGACTAATACATTGGGCCAGATCATGCTGGCTGATAAAAGTTAACGAAGCCTACATGGTAGAATGGTACCATTTAGTAAAACTATTTCGGACACCTACAATTAGAATTAGCAGCGGAGTGTTATTTGCCTAAGATAAATGTGGGAACTGAAGAGCATCACAATAAAACAGTTGAGTTTTATACACTCATCTACACACCCACTCACCTTAGACCTCATTAATCACTTATTTTATATTAGCAACTGCCATTTTACCATAAGACTTTTAGTTCAGTGTTATGTTGCCAAACTATTTAGTCCAGATTTATTATAGAGCATGTAATAGATTGATACAGACTCATTTATGTTTTAAAAAACTAATAAAATGGCAATAGTAATGCAGTTGAATCTATTGATGGCTAAATTATAAATGATTTGAGGACAGACTTGGTACATCTCCTGAGGCATAATTCTTTTCCTGACATGTCTCGGTGGATATCAGATTGCATGATCATATTTCTCTAAATGTAACATCCACATCATGAACGCTCAATTAGGCAGGGTAATCCATATAACTGAGCTTTGTTATATCTCCAAGTATTGTCATCATAGTATATTTCCAAGGTGTTTGCTGCAGCTTATATGCAAATGGTAACAAGAAAGTAAGATAAGGTAGCCAGTGTTGATAGAAAACAGAATCACTAAGGTATTAGCTAATGGGTTTGAATTTATGGGGAAGTCAGAATTTTGATGAGTCAGATTTGGGCATGGAGTTATGATCATAGTAGAAAAAGAAAGCCTTCTTATACTTGTGTGACTGAGTTTGGTTAGTCTCTTCCCTCATCTGGCTTATTAATGACCAGTAGCACTTCTGGTCTTCACAAATTCTATTTCTCAGACACTGATTCAATTGTTATCATTAATTATTACCTTTCAGATGCAGGCCACAAATGTGTTTGTATAGAACTTTCCCATTTCATGTCTTCTTAACGTTGATAAAGGGACATTTTTTACATTAGAAAATAAAGCTCTCAAGTAGTATATAAGAAAAACTCACATAAGTAAATAAGGGAGTAATTTATAATTTTATAAATCAGGAAATAATTAGCATGAGACTCCAATAACACTTGCCCATGCACCTCTCCTATTTTCAAATATACTTACTCATCTCTTTTCTCCATGGTAACCCCCAAACAGAACAACAATAAGACACAGACATGAGAGAATTGAACACTGATATTGACACCTTCTAGTAAAGGGGGGGACACTGAGGCATGAAGTGGATGAATGATCTGGCAATTGTCAACTGGACTGAGCCCACAGAGACAGAGAAGTTCCAGGAAAGCATTTGAAAAAATGTACTAGGAAAAACATGGCATATTTAGTTAATGGGTAATCCCATTACTTTGTTGTTTATTTTACCTTGAATCAAAATCATTTCTCAGCTTTAGAATCACTCTTTATTTTGAGACTTAGACGCAAATTGTTAATATCCATAGTAGCAGAGGGATGCTTTAAGATCAGCAGTGGTAAACTCTAGTGAATAAGGAGACCCAAGTTACTTTAATTGCTCACAACTTTCCTCAGACAAGGGCAGCAGCGTGACCCCAAAGATATTTGTGTTTTCTCCTCTTTGTCTAAGTACAATGCAGTAAAGTGACTTACATCACAAGAAACATCTTACAGTAATTATGACTACAGAGAAACATTCAAAGGGATCAAATATTAAGGAATGACAAGATTTAAAGAAACAGAAATTTTCATTACTTGATTTCATCATTACATATTAATTATATGGATGGTATTAAATCTTCACACTGTATTCAACAAATGTGTATAACCTGGGGGAAATTCTGCCAAAGCGAAAGGGTGTTATTTGGTGAAAACTGCAAACTTTAAAGAGAGTCTATAATTTTAAACTTTACGAATTGTTTTTTAATATGTAACTAGCATTGTAAGACAGTTTTCACTTTGTGTTTCAGAATGAAGATATGCATATATATTATATTGTAATACAAATAATGTAACAGTATTTTTGAGGAAGGGGTAGAAAGATGCATAAAGTAAACTTTGTTTTGGTGGCATGAAGCTTGTTTCAGCAAAGGGTCACTTTTTCCAGCAATCTAAGAAGACTGAAGATGCCTTGGGGGCCTTTAGTGAACAGCATTTTAAAGAAACAAATTGCTTTCTGTGGACAGAGTAAAAGCAGTAGCTTTTAATTCAATAATACAGAATCTACCATTAACAGCACATGTAACATATATACATTCAACTCTAAAATTGATTTTTAAAAGTATGACTTAGAAAACTATTTAAACTTTATAACTTAAACTTTCATAATACTGCTATGATTTTTAAAAAAAAATTTGTTGCTGTATCACTATGAACTTGTATATACTATATTGGCTTTGGAGGATTTGCAAAAATAAATTACACTCAAATTTCACCCAATAGACATTTAAAATGGAGCCTTCATCTAAAAGGACTATGGTATAGTTTAATATTTACCTGATTATAAAGTTTTTCTTCTTAAAACTACTTTATTCCAGATAATTTATCTAGCTCAGGAAGGCAGTCTCATATTAATTGTAGTCTCATATTAATTTCAAATCAGCTTACAGAGCCTCATTAATAAAATATCCAAGGTGCATTTGCTGGCTTCTATATGGATAATTTTTGCTGAGACCTCTTTGAATAATAAGAAAAGGAACGTAAGACCGTAATTAGCTCTTGAATAGTTTGATAGACTGGTTCCAGGGTTAATTTCCATAGCTTGAAAATCCTCCAGTTTGCTGGATTGATCCTGGGGGAATTTTTTGACATGATGTGCAGGATTGACCCTCACACTGAGGATTGCTGTCCCACTGGCTGCTGTCTCTCTTGCTGTCCTAGTGACCAGCCCCAAAGCTTTCAGTGGAGACAGGGGGATATGGTATACATTGCTTCATTATCTCTGGGAAAGCCGAGTTTTACCTGACAATGACATCTACCAGGCGGATTTTAATATCCACAGGCAAGAGCAACATCTTTATGGCATTTTTCTTCAATGTGCACTCAAGAAAGCATAATAGGAGCTCAGACTGGTGGTGCCAATGCCCTTCAGCAAAGTAGGATTTGGGGATTGGTCTGGAAAGGGCCTCTGAGCCATTGCCTTTCTTATACGACTCAAGAGAAAGCAGGAGATATTCATTAACTTCTGTTTTCCTTTCATTTTCTCCCTCTGACCCTTCAGATTTATGAGGAATCCAAGATGAATTTGGAGCAGGAGAGGCCTTTCGTCTGCAGTGCCCCCGGATGCTCCCAGGTGAGTGAATGGCTTCTCCCCATTCTGGCTGGCAGTGAATGCATCTACCTCCTGATAGGAAGGCAACTCTCACCTTGCAAGCTTGCCCAGCCTGGGCTTTCCTTCTTTACCAAGTCTTCTTCAACACTGCCTTTACCATTACCATCTTTACCACTGCTCTATTCCACTTTAAATACTTTGAACTATTTTTCTCTCTGCCCCTCACAAAAATGTAACAACTTTGGACATTTTCCTTTGTAACTCTCTGTGGAACCAAGCTAGATGCATCCTGCCCACCAGTTAACTGCATAAGACTCTCATTTCAGGAAAGGCATAGGAGGTGCTACCTTCACAGGAGCCGCTTAAATAAAAGCTAGGCCCATGGGGTACTGGGAGAATGGCTCACCATCATAGATTGAATTTTGTCTTGTTTTACCTTTGAGTAAAAGAAGCCTCTCTCACCCCAATCTTCTAAAACACACTGTTCTGAGGTATTTAAATTTTAAGAAGGCAAAATGCCCTGCCATCTTGGATTGACTCTCTTGGTTTGGATGGCTCTCATAAGTAGAAATAGTATGGGGATTAGATGAGATACTGCCTGTAGTGTTTAATATAAAACACGAACATAAAAAAACACTCAATTAATATCCACTCTTATTACCATTACTGCTGATGCTGCTAAGACTGTTATAATAAAACGTAACTCTTGGAAAGAAATTAGAAATACTCTTAACCTAAAACTGGACTTTTGCATTTTACCTTTGGAACATGATAGCGACTCTCCCAACTCTTGACCGTTGAATATCTCCATGTTCCAGTTTCAACGTGTGTGAAAAATGACCACATGGGTTCCCTTCCATGCCAAGGTCTTTATTTATGGGATATAAGGCAAGTTTAGAACTCAGAACATAGGAGGTTTCCTAAGTCATACCTTTTCCTTAAACTGTTCAGTGGTTTCATAGAAATGAGGCCCTACTGGGTGCCTGTTTATGTAATTCATTGGCAGTACTGCGTGGAACAGTGCCTAGGAATCAGGTGAGAAGGAATAACCATGAAGGACCTTCCTCGCTATAGTATGTCCCTGGAGAGTTTCTGGAGGACTTTGCAAGCCTTCTGGAGGGAAGAGGCCTTAGAAACACAAAATGTTACTGCCAGTATTATTGGCTGCTAACTGAGCAAGCAGAGCCCTCTGCTCAGATTCTGGAAGTTTCACCAGGATATTTTTGTGCCATTGTTTATTTTCAATCTATAAATAAGAAAAGCAGAAGAGATAATTATTTTGAAACAAGCTGGTTTTGAAGACACAGAAATCACTAGGAAAACAGATTGATAAGTAACTGGAGAAAATTCGGCTAGACCAGTACTCTCCATGGTGAATGCAGAACATCACCTGATTAAGTTAAAATTGGTCACTAGATAGCCAGATGTGGTGGCATACACCTGTAATTCCAGTACTTGGGAGGCTGAGGCAGGAGGATCATTGCAAGTTTGAGACCAGCCTGGGCTACAAAATGAGCTCAAGGCCAGCCTAAACTGCATAGTGAGACCTTGTCTCAAAAAGACCAAAAAAAGAAAAAAACATTGGTCTCTAGCTAAGGTAAAATTGACTACCATTCAATTTTTTAAAATGGAAATCAGGTACCTTGAGAAGTGTGCTTTGGCTGTGACCATGGGATAGTAAGTTTTATTGAATTTAAGTTACTCAGCATAATTTTTTGGGGGATCCGAAGATCAGTCAGGCACTCTGTTTGCCTAGAGAAATAGCACAAGACACAGGAATTCCTATCCTCAGACAGCTTCTCATCTAGGTATCAAATATGCAACCACATGATCAGTTAATCAGTTAATTAGTATATTTCAGCTTCCATGAAATAAAGATCATAGGTCAGCTTGAAGCATAATGAGGGGATTGACTAGGGGAAGTGAATTGGAGGGCACGCTAAGGAAGGTACATTTAATGGGATGTGACAACCCAGTTAAGGCAACAGAGTGCTTAGGATGTGGTAGGAGTCTCATCAGTGTCAAAGGTCGTGAGTGACGGTAGAGAAGAGGATTTCAGGGAAGGGATAAGGCCAGGTGTGGTGGTAGGTTCCTGTAATCCCAGCAGTTTGGGAGACTGGATCAGTAAGATCGTAAGTTTTTTTTAAAATTAGTGTGCGTTTGCAGTACATAATGATTATACAGAAACACTTAATCTGTTAGAAATAAAATAGATAAAAGTTTTGCAGTCATAGGCATATGCAAGGACTTTCTGAACAGAATCCCAGTTGCACAGGAAACAGTACCAAGAACAAATGAGATCATATCAAATTAAAAAGCGTCTGCATAGCAAAAGAAACAATCAAGGGAATGAAGAAACAACCTACAGAATAGAATCAGGAGTTTAAAGCCAGCCTGAGCAACACAGCAGGACCCTGTCCCTGCAATTTCAAAAAATAAGATAAGATAAAATAAAATAAAAAAAGGATTGTTGCTCACATCTGATATTTAGATAAGCCAAAGGAAAGAGAACTTAGAACTCCATACAAGTCATCAGACTGTTATGCCAGAATTTCCCAAACTTGATACCATTACATTTTTGGGCCGCATAATTATTCGAGGGCTTTCCTGTGCATTGTCAGGCATTTAATTGCATGCTGGGCTTCTACTCACCCAACCCCAGTAGCACTCCACAGTTGTGACAAACAGAAACATTCCCAGACATTGCTAGATGTCCCCTGGGAGCCAAATTTGCCCCTGATTGAGAATGTCTGCAGATAGACTGCATGTTGGTTTTAGTCGCAATTCTTTTTCTTTTTGGCTCATCTACTTCTGATTGATGTACTCTCTCTCTGTTTGATGTATTACTTGAAGCCATCTTTTCTCCTTTTGGGAGTCAGAAAGGGTATAAATAAATTTACGCCACAGACATGCGGTCACTGGTGTTAGACACTGGTAGCACCCGGAGAGTTACAGGGCTGAGCAGACACTGTTGGATTTGGCAGGAGAGGGGTGGAGGACAGATTGCAAGGGATTAATGAGTGAGTGGGCGGTAAGGAAGCGGAGGTGGCAAGCATAGAGGACTCTTTCAAGAGCACTAGGCAGTGACGGGAAGCAGAGTGATCTAATGGTAGCCTGAGAGGGAGGCAGCTTTTTTAAAATTAAAGGATAGCCAGGCTGGATTTAGTCAAGGGCAAGCAACCAGTGAAAAAGGAGGAGCGAGTGAACGTGGGCACTCTAGGGACCAATCCCTAGAGGATATCGGTGCTGGGCAGAGGGTGCATGCCAGAGGAGAAGGAAGGAGAGTCCTTGAAGTCCCATGCAAATTCTGAGGTGCAGGAGGTCATAAAGGTTGAATAGGGTCTATTTTTAAATTATACCTTAAAAAGCCTTCTATTTAACATTTGAGCACAAGGCCTTGGGCATGCTATGCAAGCATGCTACCAGTGAGCTACATCCCCAAGCCTTGAACGGGGTCAATTGTGGATGACTTCCATCATCTCAGTAAAGGAGCAGATTATTTCCTTAAGAAGACTGAGTGGACTGACAAAAAAGTTGGACAAAAATAAGGAATGAGGATTTACAAAGTTTTCTTGATTTAAAGGGATTGTTCCAATCCTCCTTACCTCTGAGCTTTAAATGACAAGATGTATCTAAAGCTTAATGTCACTATTTGATGTAGAAGTGTATTATTCTTGACAAGCTATTATAAAAATATATTCATCTTTCAATCTAAGAGGAGTTATAATTAAGAAAACATAGGAGTCACATAAATAGTTCCAGGAGTCTTCTGGTTGGATGTTAGCAGCTCACAATTAGGTCAGTTGGTGTGATCCTGCTATTTACTTTAGTGATATCCTGTAACCTGGGAACTTGCAAGGAGAAGAGGTGATGCTGGGAATTAGAAAGAAGAATAAATAGTATAAAACAAACTTATTCATTCAGAAATCTGGCATAATTACTATGCTGTGCAAATTTTTTGTTTTCAAATTTTTATTATACAATTGAGAAATAAACAATGTTTATGCAAATAACTACTTTTAGACTCAGGATTTAGCCCAGTTAATTCTCCTGAACATGCATCCATATTATTTGAAAAACTGATTTCTACTGTAATTTATTAAGATAATTGAAACTCTCCCGTACAACTAAAAACTCTGAGTTTTGCAAATTATGCAAAATTTGGAAATGTTCAGCAGAATTTACTCTTTTGTTATATTTTTATTTGATGTTGATACTCTGTTAAATTCAGTTATTACAAACATACTGATCTGAGTCAGGTTAGATCAGAGTATGCTACAATAACAAATTACTCTAAAGCCTCAGTGAATTAAAACAACAAAGGCTTATTTCTGTTACCCAAGGATACGTTCTTTTGTAGACGGGCAGAAAGCTTTTGGTAATCTTTTAGCATTCACAAATACTCCCTATAATCCATCAGAGATTTAGGATGATTGAGGGGTCACTATTTCCAAAATTTCGAGTCACCATAAGGGGATAGAAGAATGATAGACGACTTTATACCAGGCATTCCATGCTTGCCTCTGGATGACAAGTTACTTCTATTCATGACTCAGTGAGGACAGGTAGTCACATGGCTACACCCAACTCAGGAGGGCCAGAAAATTCAGTCCCTATGAGTGAACAAAAGTTGGATGAGAAAAATCATTCCCTAAAAATTAAAGTAGAATATGGGTTTACTATACAATGCAGAGTATAAAACACTAAAAATAATTTATCATGTTACTGTAAAATTATATATATGATTATAAACAAAGTCAGGTAATGGGGTAGGCCAGATCTTCGTAAATAGAAACAGACTGTCCAAATGTCATGTTGTATGTTTGTAGATACAGCAAATAATTAAGCCTAGGATATAATTCTTTTCCCAAGTCTGACATGGATCCAAATTCTTTTCTATGTTATGCATTTCTCCTTCTTTTGGTTAATCTATAGATAATATCTAGCATGCTTATCATGCCTTAGACTTAATTTCACACTATTATGTAAAACAGTAACTACCAGAGAAAAGTTCCACATGGTTTTGCAGACTCTCAGGGCTATTTACTCTCTTACTTTGGACATAGTCTTCTCATATTCATAAGGAAAAATAAAAAAAAATTAATTTTTCATGTTTCCATTATTATTTTTTGTTACCATAAGTAAATATTCATTTAAACCCACTTTCCCCCTTTTATTAGAAGCTACTTGATATTAGGTTGTATAGGATTTTTTACTGTATATGGGAATGATAAGGATGTACGGTGAATATTTAATTTTGTAAAAAATTTAAACTTTCACCATATTTTGTGATCATCCCTCAGATGTTATTTTAATACCTTTAGCTACACCCTTACCCATTTCTGTTTTATCCTTGAGCTAAATGCAAAGTTTAAAGTCTACCTTCAGATGAAACCTCTAGCTCCTAGAGAAACAAGTAATTTACTAACGAGGCAGTTCATCTGGTTACACTGCAGGACTATTAAAGAAGTAGAAGCCCTTGAAAAGTTTCCAGGGAGGGTGTGAGGACTCAGAGAATGGCTGAAGACAAAGATGTTCTTATTATTAGTGCTTAGTCAGATTCTTCTGTAACATAGGTAACCCCTTTGGCAAATTGTAATGGAAATTACCATGCATATATTTGTGGGTAACTGAAAGGAACATCCCAGAGAGTTTGCTTTCTTAAAACAGCTTGTAACTTTACTTACTGGTATTTGCATATTTTTCAGGCTGATTTTTTTTTTAAATTTTGTAATTCTTTGGTATTTGCAATGTTGAATAAATTGTCTTTTTGATGGAAAATATGTGCTACAAAACTGAATAGTTTTTCTCTTCCTCTCTCTTTTTCCTATTTGTACAACAGCGCTTCCCAACCGAGGATCATCTGATGATTCACAGGCACAAGCATGAAATGACCTTGAAGTTTCCCTCCATAAAAACAGATAATATGTTATCAGGTAAGGAGCCATTAGGCAAAGAGGTTTTGGTGACCAGAAGAGTTTTGTGCAAAATACTTACTCTGTTTGGCAGGCTGATACCCACGGGCAAATTGTATACTTTGAGAGTACACATATAGAAATTTTAGCAGAAATGTAATCAACTAATGTCATGCTCACCCAGGTAATTGAAGAACTGTAACTCCTCATTTTCTGGAATGTGGAATATCTATCACAGTGAAACTTGGCTCCATAAAATGTTTTAAAAATCATATACAACAGATTATTCAAGTACAATATATTAATTGAGCATTTGTAATGCACACTGTACTAGTCAACGTGCTATAAGAGATACGCACAGATTGATATGTCTCTGGTCCTTGAGAACATCGTGATAGAGCTTACATATGAAAATTCAGCAAAATCCTGCAGAGGATCCTGTGAATATACATCAAATGAGTATTGTAAGGGCAAAATGCTATGCTTCTTTTGTGGAAGGAACTTTCTGTCCTGAGATAGGCAGTAAAGTTGTCTTTAAAAACAGTACCTGCCTCAGGAGTAGGAAAGATTAAATGAACTAATATATGGAAGCATAGTACATGTTCAATAAATGTGAGCAGAAATTAATAATAGTAGTGATCTGTTCTTAATTACCATTCCTTCACATTCTGAGAGGCAGGACAGTGAATTAGAAAGACTGCAGGGGAAGGAATACAAACTCAAACTCTAGCTCGAACGCTGCCTCACCTGAACGTGTGACTTTGAGGAAGTAATTGAGCCTTTCTAGGCTTTAGTTTCTTTCCCAATAAAATGGGATAATTGTATCTACCCTTCTTATTTCATAAGTTTATTAAGAAGATCTAACAAAAGAACGTCAGAGTTTTATAAACCCCAGTAGGAAAATGAAATGATTTCTGATGATTCTTCTCCCTGGCATCATGAAAAACATAGCACATCTATGAACAAATTTTAATTGACAACTGACTTCTCTGGCTGGAGTGGCTCATGTGAGTTAGCATTTCAATGGCCATTAAATTTTATTTTTTTAGTATCAGTATCATTTAGTTAATCTTCTGAGATGTTAGATTATTATCAGCGATTTGCCTCACTCACTAAACGGCATGGTGGAGAACCGTGTCCTGCTGACAACATAGTCAGGCTGTGTCAGTTTACACAGCCCCGATGTAAAGCACACCCACAACCTCAGAGACGCACCAGCGACTTGCTAGTGCCTATAGAGAGCCTGGCATTCAACAGTGTCCCCTGCCCTTTCTTCTGCCATCACTTGGCTTTCGTTTCAGCCTGCTTGGTTTGGAATGAGCCAGCTCCATAGCTACTGCTTCAGCTTTCCCAAAGCTTGCAGAGCTCTTTTAAGAATTATGAAGGCCTGGAAGGGTCAGGAAAGATGACTTTTCTTTGCCACTTATTGTGTTCTACAGAGTCACGTGTAGTATAACTTTGTGGTTCATCCGTGAACATACAAGAAACCAGGTTATAACTTTGCAATCACCAACATTTAAATTCTTAAATTCTTCCTTTATTTTTTCTCAAATTAAATTCCTAACATAGCCTGCCTGGTTGCAGAGGAGTGTTAGAGACTTAAGTGGCCAGGTAGTATCTTTTAAGTAGCTGGTCTGGTCTTACAAGGAGCCCTAAATACAGATCTGAAAAAGAAAAAAAAAAAAAAAAAAAAAAAAAAAAAGTAGGCAGCCAACGATGTGTCAAACAATGGGTGAAACATCCCTCTACATATTGTCTAAAATAAGCTTTTGATTCATCTCTTGCAACCTTTCAGTTGTTTTACCAGATCCTTATTAGTTTGCAATTGTTACTGCTAATTGCTGGAAGTGTTAAGTGGCAAGTTATTAGGGGAAAAGGAACTTTAGTTTTTATTATGTCAAATTTGAAATAAAGAAATGAAGAAACAAAAGTGAAATAGGAATCTGAAGAAGACAATATGGTTTGCAAAATTACCGCCTACTATGACACAGTCATTCAATTTGAATATCATAGTTGAGTTACAGGATAGAGGTGAAAAGATAGTTTTTAGATTTATTTTAATGCTATTATGATTAGGCCCCCAGGATTTCCCAAATTTGGCCCTGATAAACATCTCCACTTCTACCTTTTAAAATCCGGATGTTCAGGTTCATTCCAAAAAATAAGAAAGAAAATGAAAATCCAAATGAAACAAAGTTTCATAGAGCAGCTTTATTTGTAGCTGAGAAAATAATTTGTATTCCAAATGAAAATTCCAATTGGAGGACAAAAAGAAACTCAAGAAACTGGATTGAAGCACGTGGGCCCTCTGCAGTGTTCTCCCTTCCCTGCAGTAAATCTAAGACCAGCAAGTTCTGTCCTTGCTGTGGAGAGAGTAAGACGGGGCCATTCTCCAAAGTAAGGTTGCACGCCCACCCGTGTGCTACCAGACATGTGCGCCCAGGCCTTCGGATGCCTCTAATCCTACTTCCCAGCATCACGGCCCAGTGAATGCTGCAGACAACTGATCCATGCGTGGAAGGAAGTTAGGGTAAGCACCAGTCCAGGTGTGGGCAGACAGGCTGAAGATGGCCTTCTGCCATCAACTATTTCTTCATTCAACAAACATTGATTGGATGACTACAAAGATTGTTTGGGCCAATCTTTGTTGATGCTTGATATGCTGAACTGAATCAGACCCATGAGTTCCCTCTTCTTGTGGAACCTACTGCACTCTAAGGAAAGGGGGAGGAAGAGAAATAACAACAAAACTGAGAGAAGTAAACAAAGAAATACCAGTAAATAAAAAAAAAAGTGGCAGAAGGTGTGTGGTTAGGAACGGCTTCTCAGCGTTTGAGCCAACACCTGATGTTCAGCCCTGTGGGCCCAGGGCTTCCTGCTCCCTGACTGGTGAATATTGTGGAACTGGGTGTGGAGAGACTGTAGGATGAGATGAGGCACAGCTGCCTGTGTTCTGAGCTGACACACAGATGAGAGGAAAGAGACTTCCCATTCTCTCCCCCCCTTATCAGATTCTCAGCACTCATCATTCGACACAAATGATCAGATCATTTTTCAGAAGCCAACGGTGTCCTCAGACTAGGGCTAGGATCAGGGCCTGACTCTCTAGTGCCAGGCTCTAACCCTCTTTCTTACAGAAAAGCGAGAATGTGATTTAGTGATGTGGAACATCTGTCTCTGAGAAGCTTATCACAATCATGCAAACACCCAAATCCACTGCTCATGGTTCTTTACCACAAACTCTATTCAATAAGTCATGGGACATTTTACGAAGGAAGCCAGATCTTCAAATTCTTTTTAGAATGAGCTGGAATATTTAAAAATGTATTAACCAAATAAGTAAATCAATTTCTCTGCCTTTCTCTGTTGTCTGTCTGTCTGTCTCTCTCTCTCAAACACAAACACACAGCCCATGCATACCTCCTCTTGGCAATTCCATTGATAATAAAGTTATGTAGTAACTTTCCACTTTGAAAATCAGTTGGATCTTTATGGAACAGAGAGACAGAGGGTGGTAGAGATAGTTTGCTCCAGAGGGTGGTGTAATAATAACAGCTACCAGTTTTTGCCTTACTTTATGCTTGTAATTGTGCCTTGTACTGTATGTTCATTGTGTTATCTAATTCTCAATATCCTTTCTATACAAGGAAACAAGATAGATAAGTAGTTGATCCAAAGTTCTTGTATGTCTATAATTTTCTTACTGTACACCTCCACTTGGTGAGCTACACGTACTAAGATCATGTACACATTTTGGTCTTATGTTTGGATATAAATCTGTGAACTGCTTTCCTATTGGCTTATTTCTTCAATAGTCATCAAATGGAGCAAGTGGGCAAACGTTGTGAAAAGGTGATTCTACTAACACATTAGCATTGCAAGGAACAGATTATGCTCACCTATTGTGACGAGTAGGATGCAAGTGGCTCTTCACATTTATAGTAGTTGTCTGATTCTCATCTATGCTTTGAGTGGGCCAAGCAAATAGAAGTTTGAACAATTTGCCTGAAAACTTTTGAAGCCTTGCTCTGAAGTATCCTGAAAAACTGGCTTGCAATTCTCTATTGCACTTGAAAACCATGTTTTCTTTCTTTCTTTCTTTTTTTTTTTTTTTTTTTTTTGAACAAAGAATGTGGGAGAACCCGGGCAATTAGGCACTAAGTGGAAACATTAAGTTTTAGCCTTCCTCTATTCAGGGCAGATTTTGATAATAAAAACACCTCGGATCCCTTAATTCACTCTGCCAACAGAGACATGATCTCATGGCATTAACAATCCTTCTTACCAGCCAGTTCTTCTAAAGCAAATTAAAGTCGTGGCTTGATCTCTGTAGGAACACTTTGGGTGGCTGACGGCTGGTGGTAAGAAGGTGCAGAATACACACTTCTTTAATGTAAGTCTACAGCTGTGCCTTCTAGAGCCAGGTGGGCATCTGTTGTGAGAGATGCCCTTGTCAGCACGCTTTGTAATTGACTCATAGGCACTCACACAGCATCTAGCCCACCAGCTCTCCATGTTGGTGATAAATGGATTCTAGCATAGGATTTGAGCGTGTGAGTTTACTATGCGGTCTAGGGTGGCCTTGAACTCACTTTCTATAGCAGCACTCTGGCCTTGAATTTGTGATCCTCCTGCTTCAGCCTATCAAGTGCTGGAAAAGGATTATGTATTTAAACATTCATTTAATGTAACTCTTGTAATTAGGACTTTATTAGGTGGAAGATAGGAACTAAGAAAAAATTCAAAGAAAACATTTGCTGAACAATTAAAAAGATAAATATAACTACGAAAAGAATATTAAAAGTACCTAAGAAAATGCTTTTATTGGAGATCTCTAACTCTTACTAAAATTGATTTACTAATCTAATTCCTTTTCTTTTGATGGAGCTGCCCTTTTTGGAAATTCCATCATTCCATCTTATTGGCTGAATTTGAGTCATGAAAAATAATAAAAATGAATTGCTTTAAAAAAATACTACATAGTTAGAAGGTTCATGAATTCAAGCTAACTTTTATTGTAA